AGATTAATATTTTCTAAAGTGTTAGGAATGTTTTTTTTTGTAATAAACAGTTGTGCTCGGGAGTTTTGTGATATGAAAAATTCATTTCTGATATCTATTTTTTATTTAAAGAACCGCAAGATGGCGCTTCAAAGCAAATCTACTATATATTTGTGGAAGTATGTATGTATGTATGTACCAGGTTGCAGCCTGAACGGATGTACAGAATCGAATAAAATTTTGCCAAAGTATTGCCATGACTCCTGGACCTATAATAGGGTAAAAAAATTGAGACTCGCCAAGGGAGGGAGGGGGATGAGGGATACCTCCCATAGTGAAAATTTTTAATCAGCTCTAACTTCGGAATTATAGTCACATGAACTCGAAATTTGAAATGCACAGATACCTATAGGTAGGTGCTTATGGAAAGATATATGTATATAAATGAGTTTGTAAAAAGGGGCGTGGCACATCTTATAGGAGTGGAATCTTTTATCAGCTATAACAGCAGGCAGTATTAGTGATCTCATTGTATTGTATTTTGAAGATTTGTTATAATTGATCAAAGTTAAATTCAAATAAATTATAGATGATATGAAGTTCACCGGGTCATCTTCTAGTCTTTAATATATACTCAGTTAATATACTTATTAATATTTACTAAAGTGTTACGAACGTTATTTTTTTAATACAATAAGAATATAATAACGAAGAGAACGAAAAATGACACTGAAGATGGCACAACGCCGAAACCGGTTTGTCTCCAAACCAAATTTGACAAGGGATGACGGAAATTCGTTCCATAATACATCATACACCCACCCTGTCGGAAACAACAACAACCAAAGAGGAAAATAATAACTATAATTTAAAGGAGTGACACACAATGGCTAGAGTCGTCGCATGTGTGTATTCTTTCATATACATATATATGGGCCGTTCTTACGGTTTATATATTTTTCATCCACTCGCTTATTCCTTACCGAAAATTTTAAATAAAATTTTAACAAGTTTTAACCTCTGATACAGTACAGGTAGCAGTTTAAAATGGGTAACTGGGTAAACTTAATAAAGAAAACATATTCTCTGGCTAAATTAATAAGCCTGCCCGGATAACACAAAATCCCAAGCTTTAACATTTGGTGTTATAAAAGTTTTATAAAGCTCTACTTGTAATTAGGAAAAATGCCGAAAAAAAATTATAAAATTGATTGATTGATTGATAAAAATAGAGAGGGAGTTATGGCTATGACAATAGAAACTAGAAAAAAGATACCTCGTGTTGAAAGCAAAAAGGATCTAAAACAAAAAAAAAAATATAAATACATTGTTAATCATAAACAAATTTATGATTCGAAAAATAATTTTGAAATATTGTAAATTTTTTTTTTGGTTTTTTAAAGTTAAGGGTTTATTTACTTACAGTAACGAACAAAAGTATTGGCACAGTAAATTTTTCGCAATATAAGCAAAGCATTTTTTAGAAAAATTCCAAGTATGCAGTTTAATAATCCATTCAATTTTAGTTTATTAAAGTGCAAGTTTGAAGTTGCTTGAAAATCTGAATATAAAATTGCAAATTAGTATGCAGATTTATTGAATTTTCCTGAGTTTTTCACAAAGTTTACACATTTGATTTTTATGTGTTTTAGTGTAGTATGAACTATGTTTTTATAAAAAATTATCGGAAATAAACTAAAAACTTTGCATATATGGGCATTCCCATGGTGGCGCACGTGACAGTCGTACGATTTCAATGTGATACAAAAAAGGAATACCATTTGTTTTCTTTAACTTTTTTGGGCCATTGTATAGCACATAATTAGCTCTATATTTAACCGAAAAATGAAATCAATCGAACTGCTTGGTCCTGAAATATAAGCATTTAAAGAGAGTGTCGTTACGTGACAAAAAATGGAAGTTTAGTTTTTCTTTTCTTACAAAATCGCAAAACTCTGCGAATTGTGGATGGCTATTTTCATGAAACTTATTTTAATATGATTTGGAGCAATTCTAGTTGTTTTTAGAGTTTTTTGAATTAATGCAAATTGTTTCAATTCTCTTTTACAACCCCAAGTGTGAAACGTGACGTGACGTGGCGTCACGTGACATAAATTTCCATCGTATTATTTTTGTTAATATTGCTTTTAAATGAATTTTCAACGCAAATAAAACATGTATTTTATGTAGAATATACTTTATATTTTGACTTCAGCGCCAATTCAGGGTCAATTTATTAGAAATCTATGATTTATTATGTTTCAACCACATACGCCAAATTCGAACCAAATCGGACCATAAATACGGTTTTTCGAAATATCTCGACCTTGGCACCACCTAGGAAGACCATTTTATGCAAACATGATTCTACTTATATAGCCAGTATATATTTTAAAAAGCAGACAAATCGGCCCGTAAATACGTTAGATATAAAACTTTTTTTTTTAGTCGTGGTGGACCTTCCGCTGGAAACACCCATATGTAATGCGAAAATTTACTGTGCCAAAACTTTTGTTTGACACTGTACATAAAAAAATACATACTGTAACTTCTCCCGTTACAATAGTAAAAAATATGTAATTTGCTTTGTAGTAAAAAATAGATATCAGAAATTAATTTTTCGTATCAATAAACTCCCAAGCACAGGTTTGTATTAAAAAAAATATATCCGGAACTTTTTATTAAATATTAATCTGCATATTTTATAAATTCGTCGGAATATTTTTTTATGTATGTTACCGCATAACTTTGGACTACGTTATGCGTTTTCAATAATTCTTTTTGAAATGAAAGGTGGTTCCTCAGAGGTAGTCTCCTACTAATTGAGTGTAGATCCGATAATTGGGCCATGAAGAAAATAACGGTACTCTTAAATTTGTTTTGTTTTTTTGTTTAAATTTTACTCCAGTGTCCACAGCTTCTATAAAAGAGTCGTAGGCCATATTTTTTTGTTAGTTCAATTGTGGAACATTTGTATGAACTGCTTCGGCTAATACTTCGGCTTTTGTTCTCTTTTTATATCGAGGCTAAGTGCATTGTTCGATGGGGTGATATCATTGCCAAACATAATAGTACTTTGTTTGCCATCAATAAACATTAACTTGACGGAGTTACAGTATTCCACATTGATGCGAGCCTCAAAAGCTTTGAATAATATTTGCGAGTATGGCTTTTAGTTTTTACCGCTCAGGTAGGTGGCAGGCCTATAGAAAATATTTCTTAATCAATAATTTTTCAAATACTTTTCGTTCGACACCTATATTATAAAACATACTTTATCTTATTAACTTAATTGAATTAAATTTTCGAAATTGGTGTCAACTCGACTCAAAAATATTTTCAGTAGTAAGCCTTCTTAAACCTTTTTAATTTGATACCCATATTGCAATATTTAATTTATCTTATCAATTTCATTTAATTAAATTTTGAAACAGGTGGCAACCCCTCTCAAAAATATTTTCGCCTGTAAGCCTTCATAACCTCTTTCTTTTGACACCCATCTTGCAACATCTAATTTATGTAATTAATTTACTTATATTGAAATTTTTAAACAGGTGGCAACTCTCTATTTTTTCTGGTTTTAACCATCCGGATATTATAAAAAACAAACCAAAAAAAAATAAAAATATTCAGATCGGTCAAGCTGTTTTCGAGTCTTAGCGAGGCTAACGGACAGCAATTCCTTTTTATATATAAGATATCTTCCTTTAAAAATGCGCAGGCTCGAAATTAACTTTAGAGCTATGGTCTGGAGGAATGTTTTTCTTAGAATTTTATGAAGAATCCGAATATGCTAGGAACAATGTCGAAAAAAATCGATCCATACAAATTGACCCGCCCTAATGTACAGTATATTTTGCTTTGCTGCCTTTGTGCTTAAGTACACATTTAAGATACCTACCCCAAAATGCGCATCAGCGGCATTATTTTTAACATTTATAAGGAAACTGCTCCGATACTTGCATTCAACATACCTGCACATTAGCGATACCTGCCTTAAAAATTTGCAACTGTTATCAATTATCAAAGAAAGTATTACGTTTACCTGCACTGGCTCTACACTTACCCTAATTTTACAAGCTATTACTTATTTTGCTCATCTCGCAGAGCAACGAAAACGGCCATTATTTTATGTAGTTATATAGATAAGTAGATACCATTCGGAAAAAAATTCTCTTGCAGTAATTTCTACGTGGTAAGTGCTCCTCCATTATTTGGTTTCATAGGGATTCGGATACCTTCCTAATTTTTCGGTTAAGCGCACAAGTTTTTCGTGCAAAGAAGGATGGGCAGCTAAGCAAAATATACTGTATATATTTAGGTTGCGGGCTAACATCAAAACCGCTCCGACTTTTAGTATCAAGTCATAAGGTGCAACTCTCCTACTCCTACATTCTCCTGTGGATATTCAGAAACGACAGTAGATATCGACACCATATTAAACATTTACTTTTACGTACAACATATTAACCATATCTTTATTAACTATTGTACAGTGCTTATTTTGTCAACCCGAAATTAATCGATACTTCAAGTGGTTTTGATTAATTACTCAGAATCGGTAGTTAACTACAAACTTTCAGTACAAAAATCTTATCTTAATTTTTGAGTCCGGCGAGAGTTCTCTAACCCGCAAGAGAAAACTGAAATAATCATATATATGGAGAGTTTAAAATACTTTACCGTTCTCTCAGTTCGTCTTCCAGGACTTCTTTTTTAAGTTTTCCAGCTTTTTTAAAATATACAAAATTTAAAATAAATTTACACTGTACAGAGACAAAAGCAACATTTTTGTGTTGCAGATCTACTCTGTTTATAGTATTATTTTAGCTAAATGTTATATCGTCGCCTAGATAAAAGATCGTTGCATGTTACTTTCG